AGCGGCGGATCGGGTGACGGTGGCTGGTTTACTCAACACGCGGTTGTCATCAAAAAAATGCGGTGCTCAACCACCGGCCAGCTAGGCCGGCTCAGCTGACGGCTTTGGCGATGGCTTAGTTGGCGGCCTCAAAGTACTCCTTGGAGGCAGCGACCTCAGGCTTGATGGTCGACTCACCAGGGGTCCAGTTGGCAGGGCAGACCTCGCCGTGCTCCTCAACAAACTGGAAGGCCTTGATGAGGCGGAGGGTCTCGTCGACGGAGCGGCCGACAGGGAGGTCGTTGACGGTGATCTGGCGGAGGGTGCCGGTCGGGTCGATGATGAAGAGACCACGGAGGGAGATGCCCTCGTCCTCAAGGAGGACACCGTAGTCGCGCGAGACCTGCTTGGTGATGTCCGAGAGCAGCGGGATCTTCATCTCGCCAAGGCCACCCTGCTTGCGCGGGGTGTTGATCCACGCGAGGTGCGAGAACTCAGAGTCGACCGAGCAGCCGACAACCTCGGCGCCGATCGCCTTGAACTCCTCCACGCGGTCCGAGAACGCGATGATCTCAGTCGGGCAGACAAAGGTGAAGTCGAGCGGGTAGAAGAAGAACACGAGCCACTGGCCTGTGCGGTGCGCAAAGGAGGTGGGGGGTATGGGTGAGTCCATGACAGCAGTATGTTGGTGCGTGGAGGGGAGGGGGGGGGGGTTGTGATCATGATCGTGGTCGTGGTCGTGATCATGTTCATGATCAACGGTGATCGATCATGGCTAGGATCCGCAGCGCCTGGCCGAGTACGGCAGTTGGCAGTGCCAGCGTTGCCATGGCGGAGAAGGCGGAGAAGGCAGAGGTGGGAATGGAGAACAGATGATATGGTATGCGGTGGACGGGAGGGAGGAGGGGGGAGGGAGGAGGGGGGGAGGGAAAGGGAGGGGAGGCGAGGGCGCGTCGGCAACCACATGGCTTTCGTTGGGAAAAAATCATGAAGCGCAGGCGACCTGCAGCTGCGGGAGGAAGGGCGTGTGGGAAGGAGGGGGGGGGGGGGTATGGGGATGAGTGGGGGGGGGAGGGGAGTGGTGGAGGACGTACCCTTGTAGTCATCGAGGGAGATCTTCTTGAAATCGCCGTCGACAACAGCAGTGCCGGCAAAGTGCGGGGCGGGCTTCTGGATCTGAGCAGAGGCAGACGACGAGGAGGCAGCCATGGTTGTTGCAAGGGTGGTGAGTGCGGTGGTGGCCACCTCAACAATAATCGTTCCATCTACCATTAATCTCGTGTCAATGCATGACGCTCGCCTCACTTCCAAATTGAGCCATTCTCGGTCAATGGTCTAGGCCCTGCTGATGCTTGCCCCACAAATTGGCGGAGAATCAACCACATTGCAAACGCCGCAAGCTGACGCCAGCCGTGGTGGGGAGAGGTAGGGATGCTGATCGTCATGGTAGATGATCGAGGAGGAAGGGAAGAAAGAGGCTGATCTCAAGCACAGCAACGACGATCACGATCGTGACCATAGGCGTGATCAGAGCAAGCGCTAGTGATCGGGAGCCGCAACTGTGGCTATGACAGCAGTTGCGGCGTCCTGTTTCAGCTGTGGCTGTGCGACCGACGTCGACCATGGTCAATCATGGTCACTCATGGCGCGATCGATCACGATCGCACTCGATCGTGATCGTCACTGCTGCAGCGCGGGCAGGACAAAGGCCGGCGAGAGGACGGGGTGGTGGGGTGGGGGGGGGGGGGGGGAGGCAGGGCGGGGAAGGGGGACGAGGGGGTGGAGGGGAGAGAGTGGGAGAGGGAGGTACCTTGGTGGAGGTCATGGCGGCAGCCGAGGCCGAGAAGGCGCGGGCGGCGCCGATGGCGGCGCCGATGCTGGCAGTGGAGGCGACCGAGGCAGCAAGGCCCGAGGCAGAGCTGGCAAAGGCCGTGGTCATGGCAGGCGCCATCTGGCACACGCTGCGTCCAAGAGTGCGGAACATGGTATTGGGTAGAGAGTGGGGTGGCCGTGTGACCGTGTGGCCCGGAATGCGGGGCAGTGATCGGCGGCGGCTGGCGGGCTTGGCCTCGCTCGGTCTGGTGGTGGCTGGGGTGGACACATCGTGGGCGACGCGATGGAGCTTGGATGGACTTGTCATGCGGCATGTGGCTGTCGGTGTGCGTCGGAATGTTGCGATGGTGAGCAAGTGGCGGCTGGGTGATAGCCGGTAGCGCGATCGCCAGTGATCGTCACACCTACAGATAGCGAGAAGAGCAGCGAGATGGCGCTGCATCTGAGATTTGCCGCAGCAGCTACGCGTAGCTACCGCCTGATGTGTAGAGCGGGAAATGCGGCGCGGCAGAGCCGAGCACACGTAGACTGATGGGCTGCGAGAGGGCCGAACAGGACAACAGACCACGGACTCGCTATCTGCCAAAAAAATGTACCATTTTTTATACACTTCTGCCGCGCTTTCTCCATTGTCCTACCTCTACCCAACTCAAAAGTCGGGTCGCCCAATGGCTGGACCACATTGATTCTGTGACTTGTACTCGAGCGCGCAGCAGTCTTGAGCACTCCACACTCAACTCGGTCTCATAATGGCTGCCAATCTCAAGGACTCTGCCCTTCTCTCCATCTCGGTCTTCTACTCGCCTTCGTGAGGCGGCTACCAAATACGTTCCCCCTTACCTCTTTGCTGCCCCCCCCCCTCCTTCCGCTCCTCCCCCCTGGTCCCGCCTACTGCTGCCGGCACAGTGTCGTCATCACCCGGCCAAGCCAATTCCGACCAAAAAATTGAATGGCAACTCCCCCCCCCCCCCCGGCCTTATCTACTCACCCCCACCGCACGAGCTTAACTCGGCAACCAAGGCTGTGCAGACGGCATTCCCCAACACTGAAGTGGAGGGTGTGCCGTCGCCGACCGGCGTCAAGATCGTGCTGACTGCGGTCTCGTTCGGCGGCGAAGAGCACGCTGTCAAGGAAGTGGTCTGGCACAAGGCGCAGCGCAACCTTTTCTCAAAGTACCCCAAGCTTCGGCGGACGGCCATGAAGGAGATTGCAGCTGATCTTACCGCCGTCGTCGAGCGTCTTTACAGCGAGTTTGAGGGCTAGCTGCTGTGCTCCTCGTCGCTAACTTGCTGCGCCTTTGTTCTTCTCCCCGTTCTGTCGCCTCTGACCATCGTCTGCTTCGCCCTGACGGCGTAGCTCCTCAAGTCTGGCCCTGCCGCCGAGATCGGAGCCGCGCCCGAGCCGCACTGCGCATGTCGGACTCTTGCCTGCGTACCCGCTTCCGTCCCGCCATTGATGTCGTTCTGCACGCTCACTTTTTGCCGAGGTGCAGGGCTCGACTCTGGCGACGGATGTCGGGTCGTTCCATTGCGCGCGCAACTTGCGCGCGCAACAGGCAGACCGCGTGCCAGCCCAGCAGACGAGCCGATGAGGCGCAGAAGCGTCTGGAGAAGCAGAGTAAATTAGCATTGCAGCACTACCGCTCTTTTTTTATCGCAGCGTCTGAGTCTGCTGTTTGAGCATCGAGAACAGTGACGGCCCGGCGTCGCGGCCGCGCGGTGTGGTGGCGGTCGGCCCGCCGGCCCGCGGCGTTGTCGCCGTCGATGACGACCGCGATCCTGCCGAGGCGTCGGCAAAGACGTACGATGACTGGCCCGACGGCGCAGCCTTGGACAGCGTCCGCAGCCGGCTCACCGTCTCCTCACGGGCAATGAGCGAGCCCTTGCGGACCAGCATCGGCGCTGACGACGACCGCGACGACTCGGAGACGACCGCCTCGCATACCGCAAACGACGACCGCGAGGTGTCAGCAAAGCCAAACGACGACCGCGAGGTCTCCAGAAAGCCAAACGACGAGCGCGAGGTCGAGAGCACCGGTGAGACAACATTAGTCTTGGCAATTCGGGTCATCATCGCCCGCGATGACTCATCCTGCAGCAGCGTCGGCAGCGACGCCGCAGACTGCGACCGCGACTCCTCCAACACCCGCCGCTTCTCCACACGCTCGCGCAGCCGCTGAGCAGACTCGGTCACGGCCTCATGGCTCTCGCTCTCCTCGTCAAACGCCAGCGAAATCGATGTTGCCGACCGCACCAGCTTGGGTGCCTCGTCGTCATCGTCCGAGTCCGAGCCCGAGGCAGAGACCGTCTTGGCCCGACGCGCCGCACGCGCTCGCGCCCGCGCAATCTGCTCCGCCCGCGACAACCCGCCTTCGTTGTCCGAATCGCCGCTCCCGCCGCGCACAAGCCGCGCCTTCAACGCCTCTAGCTCGGCCTCGTCGCGCTCGGCCGCCCATCCAGCGTGTGCGTCGTGGGCAACGCTCTCCTCTCCCGCGTCGTCCACAAACTCGGCCATCTCCGCCGCCTCCTGGGTATCCATCGGCCGCGACTCGTCGCTGTCGTCGTCCTCACCGCCGCTGCCCGCTCCGCCCTCGGCATCTCCCTCTTCTTCGGCCTTGTCGTCGATGAGCGCGCGGATGCCGTCAAAGATGGCGGGCTCGCGCTTGCGGCGCGCGTAGCTCGATGCGGTCTGCTTCTTGGGCATGCTGGCAAATGCAGCTAGCGGAATGGCGGGAAGTGATGCCTGGAAGTCGAGATGGAGCGATGCGTCGACATCGGCCTCGGGCTCGGCTTCGGCCTCGGCCTCGGGCTCGGCCTCGGTCGCCGCACGCGCCTCTTGCAGCGCCTCCTCGAGCTCGCTGGCACCCTCGTTCTCCATGTTGTCCTCGTCTTCCTCGACTGCGGCCGGGGCGACACCCGGGGCGACGGCCGTCGCAGGTGCCTCGTCCTCGGAAAAGTCCTCCTCGTCGAGGCGGCGCATCTCCTCGGCCCGGGCGCGCTCGAGCGCGCGCCGCTGGGCAATCGACGCCTTGAGCGACGACTTGACAAACGACCGCGACTTGCGGACATGCTGTGGGACCTTGATCTTGAGTGCCCCTGACGAGAGGACCATGCCCTCGGGCATCTCGCGCCCGAGCTGCGGCTTGAGCTCGAGGCCAGCCAGCGAGTGCGACCGCGACCGCGACCGCGACCGCGGACCCGAGCTTGTGCCCGAGCCCGAGCCTGAGCCGGCCGTCGGCGAGCCAGCCGTCGGCGATGCAAGGCTCGACGATCGCTTGAGCTTGGAGAGCACGCCGTCGAGGCCAAAGGCCGAGATCGACGACTTGATGAGCTTAGGGATGAACCGCGGCTTTGCCTCCCTCCCTGTCTGCGCCTCGTCCAGGCCCAGGCCCGGGACCACCGCCCCGTTCTCACGCAGAAGCCGGGCCTGCTCGCGAGACAGCTCCTCGCGCTCGGCCTCCATCTCCTTGGCGCTCCGAACCTCGACCTCGCCCTCGGTCACTCCAGCACTGCCGACGACCGGCCCGGTGCCGACGGTCTCCGCCTCGGCCTCGGCCTCGGCCTCGATCTTGGCCATCTGCTCGGCACGATAGGCGGCCATCTTGGCCCGGACCGAGCTCGCACTCCCGTCGAGCGTCTTGAGCTTCTTGAACGCCGGCAGCGGAGCGAGCTCCTCATCGTACTCGGACGTGTCGCCATTGCCACCATTCTCGTCATCCTCGTCATTCTCGTCGTCCGAGTCGTCCAAGTCGTCGGCAATGAGCTTCCGCTTGCCCGACTGCGAGCGAGCATCGTCTCCCGTCGCGCCGACGGTCTGTGAGGCCGAGAGCGACGGTTCCATCGAATCTGACGCGGCATCCATATCAGCTACGTCTGCAGAGAGAGTGAAGACTACAGACTCTGTCTCGGCCATGTCCTTGCTCGCCGTCGCCCCCGTAGCCTCCGTGGCCCCCGTGGCCGAGGCTGGAACACTCGCCGTAGAATCTACCACTGTCACCTTGCTCATGGCTCTTTTTGGAGGCGCCGGTGGTCGAGGGGATAGAGAAGTTGGAACGGGCTGGGGTTGTAGGGGGTGGGGGTGGGGGTGGGGGTGGGGTTGGGGTTGGGGTTGGGGTTGGGGTTGGGTGGAGTGAGTCGAGTGGGTGGAGTGGGGAGACGAGGAGGCGGGGGGGTGCGGTGGTGAATGAATTCAGGCGGGCGGTTGGGGCGGGCGGTTGGGGCGGGCGGTTGGGGCGGGCGGTTGGCGGAGGTGGTTGGGTGGAGGTGGTTGGGTGGGGGCCACAACTGTGCAAGGGCTTCGGGTTTACCGTCAATGGTGTGAGCGCTGCTCGTAGGCCGGGCGCGGGGATCGAGAGCGGGAGCGGGTACGTGAGCGCGAACGCGAGCGAGAGCCAGAGTTGGAGCTCTTTCGCGGCGGAGCGTGGGCGTCGGTAAAGGCGCGGAGCGAGGGCGACATGTAGCGGCCGTCGTACTCATCAAGGTCGATGCAGTAGCAAAGGAAGATGGTGTCGATGGTCATCTCAAAGACGGTGGTGAAGAGGGCGGAGATGGCGTAGGCGGCAAATATGATGAGGATGAGCGGGATGGCGTAGTACTGCAGGTCGTCGCGGGTCTTGAGCCAGACGAGGCCCACAAGGCCGGTGATGGCAACAACGACGATCTTGCCGAGGAGGATGAGGAAGTTGGAGACAAAGGTGAGGGCAAGGAGCGAGAGCGCGTTCGACGTGAGGAGATGGAAGGCGGTCCGCGCTGACGAGCAGAACGACGAGCCGCGGATGGCGGTGATGATGTACGCGTTGCGCGAAATGAACCTCAGGAAGCGCTCGAGGCAGAGGAAGGCGTAGTGGAGGCAGGCAAAGATAAAGTCTGCAACCCGGTTGTTGGCCGCCTCCAGCCGCTTCTGCACAAAGATGAGGACGAGCCGGATGAATTGGACGATGGCGATGATGAGCGAGCCAAAGGCGAGCGTGCCGAGATGATACCGCATCGTCTGCCAGACGGCGGCGAGGAGAGGGAAGCGCAGGATGTGCGAGGTGCCCTCGCGGAAGTAGTGGTGCGCGACGGCGCCGGCAATTACCATCTCGTTGAAGGCGAGGAGGAGGTTGACCGTCCACAGGCCGCCAAACACGTGGTACGCCTGCAGCTGGCGCAGTGTGTTGTCCGCCTTGTACTCGAGCAGCCGCGGCGGCTCATTATCGAGCAAGCCAACACGTGTAAAGACCGGGTCGCCGGCGGTCGCCAGGTAGATCATGACCACCACCCAGTAGGCGAGGAAGCCCGCGAGAACGATGACCACAAAGATAGGGAAGAAGACGAGCATGGGGATGTGCCCGAGCGTCCGCGCTGCCTCCTTGACGATCTCGATGGCCCGGTTGATCTCGGTCCGCATAAAGAGCAGGGCGAGGAATGCGATAAAGACAATGAGACCGCCGAGGCCGCCAAGAACATAAAGCGTCATGTAGTTGGCACGGAGACGTGTCGTCTCTGTCCCCTCGGCCTTGCGCTCATCGTACGTCTCCTTGGCCCGCCCTGCATAGACAATGAACAACGCGGTGACGGCAATCATGGCCATTACCGTGAGTACGACCGTAGTCCACACCATAAACCCGCCGCAGCACCGCAGCATGATGAGCCAGATGAACGAGAGAAGGAGCGCGCCGCCGGCACACGCCAGAATGATGTACTTGGCGTTGATGACATCACCCAGCATCTCGCGCACCGTCTCGCCGGCCTCCGAGTTCGCGATCTCGCTCCGGGTCTCATTGTCAAACTCGGGGCCCGGGATGCACCGGTTGAGCAGCTCGAACGAGGGGTAGCGGATGTAGCACGGGCAGTTGTCGTCGGTCACACACCCGCGGAGCCAGGTGGCGGTAAAGTAGTTAGTCGAGTCGTCGGTGGTATTGACGCGGCACTCGACATCGGCACGGGTGAGCCCGGTGTTCTTGGAGAACTCGGTCGGGCACGCCGAAACGCACACCTGCAGCTTGTCCGGTACAAACGGGTTGCCAAAGAACAGCTTGCTCTTGCCGCGCATGTCGCGCCACGGCTCGCCGTCGGACACATCATTGTTCTGCTTCGAGCACAGGTTTCCGTACGAGTCGGTACCGTACAGCAGCCGCTCTGGCTGGCCGCGGTCGAGGGCCATCGAGCCGACAACCACCATGCCCACCCAGAACAGAATGAACAACAGGAGGAAGAGAATATCCGTGCACCCGCGATCCTTGGTTGGCCCGTGATGCGAGCCATCCGAGCTGCATACCGAGCCGAGCCAACATGTGCCACGGCATTCAGAGAGATGAGCCCAGCCAACCGCCGACATGAGCCAGGACATGACAGGTGGGAGAGCAGTCACCCGCATGGGCAAGCGCATCGACAGCCGAGTCCGAGCCAAGCCGAGCCAAGCCAGAGCCGAGCCAGAGTCAAACCAGTACCAGGTCAGCCATGGCGCATCAACCCCGTCGCATCAACAAGAGTCCCAGCCAAGCCGAGCCAAGCCAGAGCCGAGCCAGAGTCAAACCAGTACCAGGTCAGCCATGGCGCATCAACCCCGTCGCATCAACAAGAGTCCCAGCCAAGGCAAGACAAGCCAGAGCCGAGCCAGAGTCAAACCAGTACCAGGTCAGCCATGGCGCATCAACCCCGTCGCATCAACAAGAGTCCCAGCCAAGCCGAGCCAAGCCAGAGCCGAGCCAGAGCCAAGCCAGTACCAGGTCAGCCATGGCGCATCAACAAGATGCGGCAGTCCACCCGTCCGCCCCGGACACATTGAGATCGAAGGAGAGAGCAGCCGTATCACATCAAGAACACAACAGAGTGAGTGAAGGAGGGAGAGAGGGAGGGAGAGAGGGTATCACTATCACTCTGGTTGTACTTGTGCCGACCCGAGTTCGGCACATGAGTAACCAAAGTCGTCAAAGTGGGGCGTGCAATGGTGCCAATGGCCGTCATTTCGGCGCGAGGAACGGTGACCCACGCGGAGGG